CGCGCGGCAAGAAGGCAGAGTCGGCGGATGAGCAGCGCGTGGTGTGCGATGTAGGACGTGCAGTGAGACACTCTCATTAACGTGACGCGAAATCCCTATAGTAAACGAGCGACTCGTCCGCTGACTTTGCCTTCTTGCAGCGCGACGGGCTTCCTGGGGGGGGGGTACCCGATTCGGGGATGCGTACCCCACTAACATTGAATGGCACTCATAGAGTCGTTGAATCCAGGTGGACTCAATAAACATTCCAACTCGCTCTCAAAATTTCGGAATTACATCGAGCTTCATAAAAAATTCCAATTTTCTACATTTACACACATTTTTCAGACAATTTTTATTTATCCTACCATTTGTCCCTAAAGTACAACTTAACTTTGCTAAATGAAACCATAAAATGTTGCACCATACGTGTATAGCTCATCCAGATAGACCATAAGTCCCGAACCCGTCCCTCCCTCGTGTTATTCGCCCTATAAAACTGGCAGGTGGCAAGACATCACATGTGATCCACGTAGAGGAAAAAAGCTCGCCGAGTTCAGAGCAGGAACAACCGTACGTTGTTCCCAATTCCAAAACTTTGAAGGCCCTTTTCCGAGGGGCTCTCGACGCGACCACACCATCATCGCCACTACCCTGGATTCCTATGCGATTCTCTATACCATCCATCCCTTCGTCAGTACCCTACGACCAGAACTGTTTCCAGAGCACTCAAAGTATTTTGGCACCAAAAGACAGTTCCATTCCGCCTACAACTCTTCCAATGCAGCCGTAGAGCGGCGATGAGGGGGATGTCGCCGAAGCGACAAATTCCACACAATTATATGGAATTATAGAATTTTACGATGAAAGTCTCGATCATTCCTCTCCAATTCCATATTTACTTCTCGATTTGAGGTGATCAAGACCAGACTTCCCTCTGAGCCCCACTAGAAGCATGCCTGACGACGCGGAATCTGAGGTTGAGAACCGCGGAGGGCTTTCTGGATAGCGTCAAAAACGAAATAGCTCAAAAGGAAAGATAACCCCCCGATCGTGTCAAATGAACACGCTTTCTAAGAGCGCACGTTGCCTACTATCTATGTACATGAGCACATCGATCGGTTAACTTATCTGAGGTAAACAGTTATGGGTTGGCGGTGGAAGTTTCTGATTGGAGTCCGGCCTATGCAGGGATAGCTAGTCCGGGCACTAATTCTGCAACTCATCAGTAGCTCACAGTACTGATATCTACTACCTGAGCAAGACCTTGCCTTCGTGTTCGGCTTTCCAGAAGCTAACAGAGGCAGTAGAGCAGACGCGTTGAAGTTATAGAGCAAATTCACCATCATGGCTGCGGCTATGAGAACGCAATACTGCCAATACTGCCTCGGCTAATATATCAATATGCCATGATATCTACATGGGCCACTGGATGGGTTTCAGTTCTCCTCCTCGGGTCAGGTAACCTAAAACTGGGACACCACTCATTTGCTCGAAGCAAGCCTGGGACTAAGCCTAGGCCCAATCATAGGCCTAAGGAGGAGATAATGTGTAAGCATAAGCCTAAACGTATACTCAAGCATCACCTTAGGCTTCAATGATCGCGCAGCTCTGGTGACCTGACCCAGGAAGAGAACTGCTGAACGTCTCCCATCTTCACTAAGCTGAAGACGGATGAGTGTTTGTTCTTCCAAGAAGGAATTGAGAACAGTAAGCCTGCGTGCGCAACGAGACATGTTTCGAACCCTTAATAGGCCAGAAAACCACGGCCAAGCCACGCATGCGAGCAGAGTCAAAGCCCTGCGTTGCGCAGTTCGCAACGCAATTGATGATGGATCCTCACACCATCTTAATTCGCTGATGGCGCGAGAACCAGACTCGGCTCGATCCATTGCGAAGTGTGAAATTTAAGCGCGAGAGACACGTTCTAATCGGCGGCGCGAAACTTCGCGCATACAGTGGCCGTCTGCAAACTGCGCAACGCAAGGTTGACTCTGCTGCGGAGTGAGTCACCATGCACTTCTCGTGTGTGCACTCGTCGCGTGGGCTCATTCCGCCACTACAGCAACGAGCGCCCGTGTCCTTGTTATCAAACTACAAAGCTTTCTAGGAGCACTGTCGTACACTCAGCACAGTGAAATACCGGCAATGGTCCTCGTCGAAAACAAATTAGCAAAAGAATCTCACTTGAACGTTAGCTTCAGTGCTACCAACGTCGACACCACGCTCGCTAAAGATGTCCGTGTCGTTGAACTCCAAACGTGAAGCATACTGACTGCGCTGACTGTTTCGCTGGGAATGTGTTCGTTGCACGTACTCTTCGAGATTCGACCTGAAAGTTCATGGATTCGATAAGGGGCTAGTGAAATTCTACATCAGATTATCCATTTTGTCACATCCTTATTTCATCGTGGAGAGGTGCAGGTGACTATTTTGGAGCAAGAATACCTTCTGCCATCGATATTTTTTCTTTATTGTTCATCTTTAGGTATCAGTTTCCCTTAACCTTATGCTACAACGACTGTACTTCGTACTTTGAAAAACCCCACACAAAGGTGTTGGGGCAATAGAGGTCAGTAATGAGAATGTGGATCCAAGCTACTAAAAATAAAAAAAACAAGCAAAATAAAGTGCCTCTAGAGCCTCCTAACGAAGACTCCCTCTTTGTCCCTTGAACTGAGTGGAGGGCGTGTCCGGGAGAATTGTCCGATGTTGCTTGCTCCATGGCTCCACTAATGCGCGCGTATTTGCTTGGCCGCTACGCGTAATTCACGTTACGCGTCATGAGGTATGCGCGAGGTATCTCATCCATTAGCTCACATCACCCGTCATTAGCTCACTTGGTAAGGCCCTAGCGCCATTGTTGCGTACTTTCGAGCCGCGATTACGGCTCAACTATTATACTTGCGGGCCACTCTAACCTAACCACAGATCGTTCTACGTGACCTCATCTGGAGTTGTTGGTTTAATGCTGTTTTGGCATTTCCACAAGTCTGATGTTTGCGTTGGGCTCTGTTTGTGGCATTGCCCAGGACATCTTATATAATATACTCTTCAGCCTCGGTCCTCATCAAAGACACTATCAGCATTGGTCTTATAAGTGGAGCCAGATGGAGCATGCTCTTTCCAATGCTGGGCGCTCCTTTCGGAAATGGAAAGAGCAAGAGGTTCTCCATGAGAAAGGAGCACTTACATTTGTCCCCTCCCCCAACCCCTGATCAGTATTCAACGACGACAGCGGCTAGAATGCGCACTTACGGAGAATTAGCGACTATGAACGCAATCAGTTCACTAGGGTCGAATGTGCCTTTAGGTTCGACAGATTACCTCAAATTCATCCCGCTGGAACTGGCACCATCTAACGTGCTCAGGTAGTCGGCCTTATTAGAGCTAGCCTGCCTGCTGGGAGTTTCTGCCTCAAACTGTTTTCTTCCATAAAATCCTGACGAGGCATAGTGTGAACCACTGCTGCCATCTCTTGACGTTGAATAGACGTCACGCACATTCTGAGTGTGATCCTCACGGCTGGAAAGCGCTCTTATACCTCAGTTATCAGATACAGCCGCTATCATAAAACTGGGGATGTTAGCCTCACCTATCCACATTTCTTCCTGAATTTTTCTTGAATATTCCGCGAGGTTTCGCCGATGGGGCCGAAGAGGCACTGCGTGTCGCCTGTGCCGTTGAAGACGTCTCCTGCGATTCTGAGGGTGAAACGGCAGCCGAATTGGTGTGACCTCTGAAGTACGTAATTTTTTAGGGGGAGCAATTGATATCTACTGAAAATCATTCAGAAGCACGTACTCAGACGGGAAGTTAACCCGATCGTTTCTATTCGCTTCTCGACTTCCCCACCAAAGATGTTGAGCGCCAGTCTTATTAGTCGTTGTCCCTGTAAAAATGACTGCATTCACTGATGAAGCGTTGGAATAAAGTCATTTAGCGCAAACAGACTGCACGATTGCTGCGAAAAACTTGCTGCCAATTGTGACGGCTAACTATTTCAATGATCATTACGTCGCATGAGTGGCGAATAACGAATACCTGCTGGTATACCGACAAGAAGTCGTGACCGGTTTTGCTTAGCCTCGTGATGTCTCCTCAGGCAGATATAAAGACAACAAAGGAAGCACAGCGCTAATATAACAGCTCCGAGTAGAATTGGTAGCAACCAGACGGAGAAATTCGATGGGCTAGCGCGACCACGTTGTTGGGCACCGGAACCAGCACTGAAAGCAGAAAATTGACGAAATGTTGGGATATTACTTACTACGGTCATCGCACATGGAAAGGCGCTCATTGGAAGGAAAGAAACTTTCTCTGGAAGTTGAAGCGTGGTGCATGGTTATTAAAAGGGTTTTATGAAAGAGGGAAAAAATCAAAAGAGTTCAGGATGCCTGGATGGGTTCACTTGAGCACCTAGTGGTCGACCAAAGCAGTCCCAAATGCAAGACTCCCACAGGCCTTTTCCTTTCATTAGTGTTCCAAATTCAGACCTCCTGCCTTGAGCGTCGTGGGAAGGGAATTTTTAGGTTCATGCGACCCTGCCAGTTCGTCCCCCTTCTTCTAAATGATGTTTGTCTATTTATAAGCAGGTAAGGTCTACGCCCTTCCTTGTTCTTGTTTCACGAGTTCTTTTACCTCAAACCACCTACCGATTTCCCGAAAATCCGCCGACATAAAGCATCCAATGTTTGTGAAACTTTCCGGACAGTTTTCCGAAAAAAAAGAGCGGAGGTAAAGCAGGTTTGGGTGGCACGATTTCCGCGCACAAAATTAGGGGTGGAGTCCTGAACAGAGTCAACCCTGCGTTGCGCAGTTCGCAACGGCACGATTGAGAGATCCTCAACGCACGCTGTGTGGGCGGAGACGCAGACGGCTCGAGCATGCGAGTGTAAATGTTCGCGCGAGAGAACGTGTCTAATCGGGCGAAACTGCGCACGTGGCCGTCGAGAACTGCGCAACGCAGGGTTGACTCTGGTCCTGAATTCAATGCTGCCCAGTTTAGGACGTAAATTCTTCAGGCCTTTGTTATCGCATTGACGATGCCAGCGTGCGCGTCAGAGATTGCAACCGCATGAAGCATAGCTATTTTTTTGCGCATGCATGCGCTCCTTCATCCAAAATTTCTTGTATTCATTTATAGACAATATTAACACGTTGAAGACAGCTCATGTTCCGCCTTTCGGCCCCGTGGGTATGGCGCGATTTTGCGAGCGCGGCCGCGCCACCCCACATCCGTAAATTTTGATCGATTACTACACAAAACATGAATGGCACCAAACCATGTCAGCAATATTCATCGTATAAGTCAGTCGGGGGCATAGTGGTGAAATTCTCTTCAAAAGAACGTGTGATGGTAGTGAAAAAATAAATTTTACTCTTTTCTCTGTAATGGACGTCAAAAGTTTTTTTTGGTTATACCAGAACAATATCCATTTCTCAACCCATATGTGTTTGCATTTGCTTATACTACTCTCTTAAAATTAAGCCGTCATGAGAAAGAACAAAAGGAGGAATGAACCGAGCTGCCAGTTTTGTTGCGGCTTAGAAAATTAATGCTAAACCGATGCATATTGGACCATAACGCGAAGCATGCCCGTTACAGTTGCACGTTATGATGTGCACCATTGAAAAATGCAAACAATATAGAAAAAATCGCTCAAGGGAGAGTAAAAAGGATACTTTGGGTCCGCTTCACGGTGTCACAAGTTTGTTAGCGTAACAAAACTCCAATGGCAAGATAGGTGTTCTTAATGGAGTGACCAAGGTACCCTCCCTTTTAATAAACGAGAAGAGCGTCGGCTGCGGACAATACACTAGAGGTGACTACGGCTAAAAGTTTCCCGCCAATAAGATGACTAGCCTCTCACTTGTATACTGTCAGGTGTCACTAACTACAACTACCATTACCAAAAATCAGCTATCATATGGAACACTACCAACCAGATTTACTTGAAGGTCGTCGTCACTCATGGTGTATGGTCTGCACCCGACGCTCTTCTCGTTTATTGGAAAGGAGGATAAGACTGCTCATTTGCAACGGAAATTTCTAGTTTTGCTTCTTCATCATCATTACAGGTTCTCTTTTGGGTAAACAATGCTGCTATCTATCTGAGCAACCTTCACATTTTCATCACTGCTTGAATTACTCTGTGACATCCACGTTTTTGTGCGTTTATACCCAAAACTCTGAGTCTATTCCAGTTTAAGGGGTGGCATCATGATGCAGGTTTTCTAGAAAATTACGGTAACTTCGAACCAGGGTGAGTGTAGGCAGTTTAGGGGGGGGTGAGGGGTGAGGCGAGTCACTTGACAGTCACTTGCTTTAAAAGCTGGAATGTTCGAGTCCAAACTAGTTCGCCGAGAAACAGCATCATGATGCCCCCAGGAATATACCCTAAACTGATGTAAGATGAGGCACGCAAAATCGCTCCTGTCCCACGCGATTAGAAATGCCGAAGCACGCAATGTCGCCAACGTGTTAGCAGCGCAACGCGTCGCGCATGCGCTATCTCTTTCCTAATTTTTGAATTTTTGTATTTATTCTATCACACATAACATGACTGTAAACGACGCAAGTTACTGAATTACCAAACATGCTTTACTTCAGCGGAGGTTCTTGATAGTCACAAATTACAAATTCTTTTCATTCCCCGTTTTCTATATTGGCATAAGCATGTATGTAAAAAAAGTAGCAAAAGTAAATGGATCTTCACGTGTCGCATAATATATCGTTCTACTGAAACGACTGCGTCAGAAACAGTGATGAGGTCCAAAGCAAGAAATATTTGCTCTTCATGGCTATAACGCGCCATATTGAAACACGTCTATTGCATCTTCCGGTAAATTAAACACACTAGATGTGGTATTCCATTGACTCCAAGTATTCTGTGTTTATAGCTCGAAATTCAAGAATGTGGTGTGTGGCGCCTGCAAAATCGCTCTGGTCCCACGGGGTGGAAAAATCCAAATTGTGCGCTTTCGTCAACTTGGTAATTGGTGCCAGAATTGGGTCTGGGAGGATAAAGCACTGATTGTAAATTAGTTGGGCCCCTTATGTCAATGCAAAGGCTTAATCTCAACCAATACGACCCTACGATTCTGAATAGAATTAGAATGCGCAGCACACTTCAAGGAGGAATTGAGCATCTCTTCAGCCGTTTTTTTATTCTCCGTTCTAGGTATTCTCCAAAAATCCCAGTATCACCTGTATCACCTGTCGTTCCGTTGATCGTCGATTCGCTCGAGCGCTAGAGTGGTCCAGTGGATCCTTCTTGCTCGAGGGACACGAGGTCCATCATTCCTTTCGTTAAGAGCTTTCGTGAAGAAGTCTGACCATGGGGCCGGCGGTCGTCCAGGTGTTCGTTTGACGTCCCGAGGGATCCAGTCGGTAACCGCTCTGGTCCAACGGTCATCGCAAAATCTTGTAGCTGGCAAAGCTTCGGCGGGCATTGCGGATGCCCCTCCCGGCCTCTGCTGCTTCAGCTGATACTGCTGCTCTTCGCTCCTTAAGATCTTCCTTTATCGCTTCTCTGCATAGCTTCGTAAGCTCGGAGATGAGTCGGTGATTGCCTGCAGCTCGTGCGGTTCCACGCTGGCGTATCAGTACGAGTAGAAATCGAAGAGAATCCTAGTACCTTCCCCATCCGCTTTTCGCTAAGTACGACCACCTGACCCATCTCCCAAGAAGTGAAATACGACCCCTGTCGTGTTTCACTTATTTGAAGTCCGAACGTACAAGTACTCTGCTCACATCATCGCTGTCAATTCGCTGACTTCTACTTATGACTTGCCATGGTTAATAATTCTACCGAGCGAAGTTCTGTTGCATTTTCTCAAGGGTGAGTAAGTTCGTCAATTGTTCTGTCAAAACCTCCAACTCGTACAATTTGGGATCAGTTACCACCACAACACTAAACAAAGTGCCCAACAAGATTGATTGACTACAACTGGTTCTCGATGAGTTGCACCTTTCGATGTGCTTTGTGCCATATTTCCAAAAAAAAAATGAATATCTCACCCTTCTACCGTAGTCACCGCGACCGTTGTTCTTGGAGGCAAATCTGCGGATCGGCCATCCACTTGAATATCACTAATATCGTTTACATTCTTCGATCCCTCCGTTCCGATTCGATCTGTGATGCGTGACGGTAACTGGGGGATGATCGCGTTCGGACGCGTATGCCGACTATCCAACAAATCCGTCAGATGACTATTGTGAGCTGGAAAACGTGCACCAATGAGCGAGAACTAGCTTAGAAATGATTCCAGTGACCCTTTTATAATAGAAGCCATTTAAATGATCTCATGCAGGAAAAATTACCTCCTCCCTGTCTGGAAATAGTGTTCACATTTTGTCGCTTGAGCAGTTCTTCCAACTGAGCACTAAGATTGGAAGTGTCAATATTGGCAAGATTGTCTACATTCTGAAATGAAGCATTCCTATAAATGAACACTAATTGCTGCACGCTGCCTATTGGGCCACAAAAAAAGGCGAGCCGGGTTGAATTCTCAAATTTAGACCTTACCGAAGATAGTAAGCTGTTCAGGTATAGAATCAAGAACACAAAGTTTCTGAATCTTTCGCAATTTTATGGCACAGTATCGCATATCTATCCTAATAAGAACGTGGTAAAGAATGCTCAAGAGCTCGGAAATGGTAACCTGAGAAGTGTCCGAAATCCCTAGCGTAGAAGATCCCGTCCTACCGGCGCCAGCGCCCGGTTGTGGTTGGGAATGTGTGCCAGTGAGAGTATGGCTGGTGGGTATAATAGCACCAAACGGCAAGCCAGCAGACGATGTGGCGCCACTAAAATGAGTTCTTAATTGTGTCAGGCTTTCGCGATGGATTGTCGTTAAGGAGGGAAACTAACTTTTCAATATTAAAATTAGGGCTGATAACTGGTAGCGGTAGTGTTTCGACTTCTGGTAGGCCGTATACACATTTTACAGTCAGCGTTTGATCTCCTTGAAGAATCACAGCCGGATTTTGACCGATTCGTATGCGATTTTGAAACACACCAGGAGCTGGCTGAAATATTCAAAGGTGAAATTCCATTCCAAAAAAATTATTTCACCCTTCACATCTCTGAAGATGTCGGTCGACATTGAATGGCTGTGCTAAATTCTCTAGGCACAATGCAAAAGGAAGGAAAACAAACCATTTGAGTAAGACATGGATCATTGAAAACAGCGATTTCTATTACATATTGGGTTTCGCCATTTCCACGTAGACGACATTCTGGTCGGCCTTGAAAATACACAGAGAACGTAAAAAACGTGAAAAATACGAAAAAAAAAACAGATTCTTTCTGCCTCATGTCTGTTGCAATTTGACCTCTCAAAAATTTGGTGGCTGTATTCCCCTTCAATGCCCCACTTCTCCCGCTTTTTTGCCGGAATTTGTCCACGACGGTAGATCCACCTAGAAAGTTGCCCAAAGAGGTAGTTCAAGAGTTAGAACTCGAACATCGCACGCGGCAAGCTTGAAAACGCGAATAACTTATAATACCCCCCCCCCTCCAAAGCCCGCTCAATTTTTGAGAGTGGGGCAATAAGGGTAAATAGTGCCGAACTCATTAAACTCCTCGTTATTTTCCATAACATCTTCCGTATACTCAACTATATCGACCTGAAGCTCAATTTCTCGGAAATTTTTGGAGCACACGTCCGAGGGGCTCTCTGTATTGTATTCCGTCGTGTTTGGATATTTTTGAATTAGCAGTAAATCGCTCGATGTTAACGAGTTTCATTTTTGGATGAGCCTACGCATTCCATACTTATGGAACCGCAGGTGCTCTCTCCTTCGGAAGGTGAGAAGAGCGTCGAGTGCAGACCACACACCACAAACGACGAAGGCCGAGAAGAAAGTGGCTTTTTTCTTAGCCGTCGTCACTGGTTCTCGCCTTCCGAAATAACGGTTATGCACATAAATTTGAGTTTAGCACACAAAATAGCTCACAAGGGCCACGCGAATACCACCACAATTCTTGGTGCTGACCCATGACCTGAGAAGACGACGGTTAAGCTGGGATGAAAAAAGTTGAATCTGGGGATTGATATAAATACTTACGCACACGGCACTTATGTGAGTTTTCATCGCCACACCCTCTTCTGAAAGTTATGGCAACCTCATCAAGTGAAGTAATCGGCCCAGGAAATTTCATTCCTTGAAGATTTGACTTTGGAATTGTTTTCCAATGGTATAAGCTGCGTTTTGTCGATAGCGCAGGGTTATTAAAGGAATCTTCCGCGGAAAAAGCTCCGCCTCCATTACCACAGAAAAACGATACCCCTTAGGCCCCTAGCCTCATGAGCATAGCAAAAAGAACGGAACATAAGCGTTAGTTTCGATAATACTAATCCTACACACAAGACAAAATGATCACTCTTTCCGTGGAAGATTCCTTTGAGGTGTCGTTTTCTAGGGTAATGAGGGCGGAGCTTTTTCCGTGAGAGATACCTTTCCGTGAAAGATTCCTTTAAGCATCGAACACTGTGGATTTTTGACTGCGAACTACGCACTATTTGTAGCAACAAGTTACAATTTGTACAACATTTGAAAATTATGGTGTACAGCAGTAATTCTGAATGTATTCTGCAAGTAAGTAAAAATCACCTGAAACGCCAACAACGATCCAGTCAGTGAATTTTCCGTCTGGATAGTAATTCGGATTGAATTTCACTTCAATCGTAATGAGTTGCGACCCACAACGTGGAGTTACTAAATTGAAGAAGTTAACCAATGGAACAGCATAAAAAATAGGGATCCATTAGGTTCAAAAAATTTATTCTTAAAATATAGTGTTTCAAACGTACCCGTAGCTCCTACCAAGTGACCAACGTCATGGTTACACAGTAAGCGCTACCGGTTTGTCTGAGAGCGCAACGTTTTTGGCAATATCATCTTTCTGATGCGTATTCAACATTTTCGCAATTCCAGTGTCCTCGACAATCTTTCCGAAAGCATGAAGGGCTCTGGCGCGTTTAGGCACTGGTAGATCGATGATACTATACGGGCACCAAAAATGTATTTCATTTGTTTGGTTACAAAATCCATATCGACAGGTAGAACCTAGTGAAATTAGGTTTTAATTAATAATCCCTTTCAAAAAACGAGAGGTTTCGGGTGCAGACCAGACACCACAAGTGACGACGGCCTCCACAAAATTTAAATGTTTTTCGCCAACGAAATGCTTAACCTGTTGCAGCTGTATTCTATCAGTTGTAACTAATTACAACTATCATTTGCCAAAAATCAGCTATCAGTATGAACCATTACTAACCAGATTTGCTTGGAGACCGTTGTCACTTGCGGTGTATGGTCTGCATCCGATCGTCAGAATATAGCTTATCAGGCTTTCAGACCAGTAGTGTTCGTGAAAAAGTGCATTTCTCACACTTCAACACCAGTTTAGTTGTAAAGTTTTAGGTGGTCCGTGTCATCCAGGGGTTTGTTCAAGGAGAAGGGAAATCCCTCTTTCAATTGGCCTAGATTTCCATGACTATGTTTTCAGTGTCTGGTGGCTCCTCCATCTAGCCGCAGCCACAACTGAAAGAAGGTTCTCCCTACCCTTCAAAGGAGTGTTTATTCCTACACAAGCCCTTCATATGTCCCTTTGTTTTTATTTCATTTCTATTCTCTTCTGTCTTGCTAGCGGAGGATGTTTGAACCCGCAGCCTTCCATCTACAGCAATAAAAGTTCAAATTGGAACCTGAGTCTTAAACAAACGAAGGAATTCCGATCACTCGAAGATAAGGTATGCTACGGTCACGCATTTCCAAAATTACACCCCTGGCCTTCCGCCGGCAACCGTGCGCCGACCTCGCTCGGCCTGAAGATAAACTCGGTAACAAATTCCATGACGCTATACATGCTGCCCGACCTTTTAGTACGCCAAGCATTGAAGTTCATACATCATTGTTCCCCTGGAGAAACAATATATAGTAGGCCTTACCCAACGCTTCCGTATGACTGACTTTGAACTGGTAAGTTATGCTATCCTACCGTAAAGGCCATTGAGTCACAGCATGGGATCCCCTCTTCAACAATAACACTAAACGAAAATCGCTCGCCATTTACAGTGCTGAGGCTAATTATAATTATTGATTGGCAAAGTCTGCGATCGTTACTGTCCGCTGAGAGGAGGCCGGTACTCACTATAATTTGCACTCGCGCGCGCCGCCGGTAATTGGCCATCCCCATAGCCCGCTCAGGCAGCATCAACCACCGACGAGCGGTCCCGGGTTGCTTCGTCGTCGTTCGTGAACGAGAACGATTTCGAAATTTTCCTAGTTCCAAGTAACCGACGCTATGAGACTTGGGATTTTAGACCTCAAAAAAGTGCAAAAAACTAAGAGAAAACTGATGCCAAGGAAAAAGGGCCGTAGCGAAGAGAGAAAACAGCAGCCTGCTACCATCGGACATGTTGATTGAAAGCATGACACCAAAGTTACCAAGACACGATCATGATTTTTCATATTTGGCTATTTCGGGTTGAAATCCGAAAATGTATCTCATTACATTGTTAGCAAATTGCTCTCAGAGTTATTGTGCCATTAAATAAGCCTAAAACTGGAAACCTTGGTAACCTTGGTGCAACTAAGAAAAAACAATGGAAAGTTAAAAAAAAGAAATTATGATATTGTAGAAGCACTGAAATGGTGAAAAAGTAGTGCAGGAAATTTAGTTGCTGCTTAAATTTACATTATTAGTTGAGTGGAAGCAAGATAACAGACTGGAACAAATTATTGATTGAGGGGATGATCTCCGAATGCGTAAATCAATTAATCGATTGCGGACCAGTGCTGCAACATGTGCAACACGCTGCCACACAGAAAAAGATAATTATTTTAGATTTGTTCATAATTTTTATAAGTTACAAAGTCATCAGTAATCTTTTTCTAGTACGGCAAATATCACGTATTTGAACACTTATGAACCTATTGACAAATTACCGGTTAACTCCGAAAACTTTAACTATATCGTTTCTACTACTGGTCACTCCCACAAACCGTTACAAGAGCCTTGTAACTAATTTTTTTAACAATCCCATCTATCCCCTTTCAGTAGCAAAAGTATTGATCTTTTTCAGAACAACCTAGCAGCACGCCAGAATCACCACTGAGATGTTGCTGTCCCTAAGCCAGGCTTTCCTAATGCCATCTGCGGCTTGAGATGACGAATGAAAAAAAGTGAAAAATGCGTTCTAGAGTCAGGTTGAAAAATGCAAAGGCAACTGAATAATTGAAAAGGGTGATAAACGCGAAATGCCCACCTTGAACTCGAGGTGGTATTGTGAACTGAGATCTTGCGAGATCGACGCACACAATACAGCCGATTATGACAAGTATCATCGTTTAGATCGATATTCTAACATATTTCAGAAAAAAATGACAAGTGTACTGTATCCCAGTAGAACCAATTGAATTCTTCTGAAACAAAAAATGCAACATCAGGTGAAGAGAATGTGCACAAGATAACATGATTAAAGTGGGTCAAAATATTGATAGTATGAGGGTACAACAGTTAAACAACAAAATTGTAAGTTAAAATAAGAAAGGATTCACGAAAAAAAACGGGTATGATAGGAGGAAAAGGCACGGAATAGTGATGAAGATGAGAAAATGAGCAGGAATATTAGCACCTTCACAGAGCGAGCATTTGACCGGGTTAACGCAGCCGGGTATAGTCTGAGAAGTAATTACGATGCACCTAATTCCGATGTATAACCAGTCTACCACCCATTGTGCAGGGTTCAGCACGGTTGACTGATCCTACATTGATCGCTATGTAACTGGTTGCCAAGTATTGCTATCAAGCCTTACTCTAAACATACTCTAGTGGCTAGTCTGCGTAATACCATTCCAGTGAGGTTCAAATAAGCATTTGAACTGTCTACCCAACGATTGAAATGCAAGTTTACTGTGGCTTGGCAGCACAACCGATCAAATAATCAGCTAACGGCCGGAGGGCATATGAATTGCTATGAGCTCAAGTTTTTCGTCGTCGAGCAGCTGTGTCATTGAGAGTTACTTCAGACAGTCCCTTGGTGGCAGGTGGCGAGTCAAGTTATATAAATAGAAAAAGATCAATGTTGAATGACATGGGAAACAACGCCGATTCGAGCAAATAACCACTGCTCGTAAAAAAATCGAATCCGCCCTTCAAAGGGAATGTCTACAGCTTTTTCCAAATTTGCGGGATAAAAAATGTAATAGTCGAGCAATGCCAAATAGAAGGAGGACATTCAGCTCTTTGCTGCAGCGTGGATACGGTACATCATGCCGTGTGGACGGAAATCAGATGTTGGCATGTCGCATGAGTGGGCGGGGGTGACAAGCCTTGGTGGCACGAGCGAATCACGTTCCAAGGTCGTCAATGTATTGTACGTCAACAAAGGTAGAAATGAGATGGCATCGAATCCGCGATGAAGTGAGTCGTGAAGTCGATCGGTTCAATTCACCTAAAGTACGATCATGACGAGATGGCTAGAAAAGGAAATTGCTCGAAAAAACGACCCGCGGCGTCTCATAGTCGTGATGCATTCGCTTCTGGATTGCAGCGCGAATCTTCGAAGTCTCTAGAATTTCGACGCTTGCACTTTGCATTGACCAAGAGGAGGGCACATGAAGAATGACCAGCTCGAATTTTAGCTGACGGTGATTCTTACGGTCGTGGACAGAATTGAGTCTCAGGCGCTGAATTTCCGCTCAAATGACAACGCATTTTCAGCTACGAAATTCAACTTGCACTTTTCTCTTTCAAAAAAAAACTTTCAACATTTCACATCTGAGTCGATAAAATGCGTTCAGTAGGCGCTCAGTTGTCGTACAGTAGTCGCACAACCATATGCGCGTATTTTTTTTCGAGCAGTCAAGGACAAGTCAATGTTTTCCGATTGGTAAAATACAGGTATATCGCCATGACAGGTGACGAACACAATAAGAGCAACTGACTTGCCGAACATTGAAGAAAAAGAGGGCGTTCTTGAAAGTGATCTTCAGGGCTAAATATAACTAAATACGGCTAAATATGGCAACATCAAATATTGTTGTGGTGAGAGCGGCGATTTAGGGCGCATTTAGCATGAGTAATCGACAATGATTAACAACGATCAGCTTAAGAGCAAACACTGTAATCCTCTCTACAGCGGCTGGGATATACCGAAAAAGACTTCGAGATAATCAGCGCACGACAGATGAGCAAGTGAAATTGCAAGTCCCATTTCATAAAAAGCCCAAAGAACTGAAACCGGGTCATTCTTCGCACTTCGATGTCATCTCTAGCACCTTTGCATTTTTCTAAGTCCACCATAGTAAAAATGCCCCATACGTTGATATCAATGGGTAGTTTAAGAAAATGCTCGCTGGACCTAAACTAATGAGAAGAATAAGCTCAAGAAGAAATAGTATAGAATGAGCTTGGCATGCAGCCACTTAGGCCTCATTATGAATGAGGAATAGCTGACGACTAAATTTCGAGGCTCAAATCTGCAGATGTGCTACCGGTAGCTCAGATCCGCGCTAACTAAGCAAAATCAATGTGCTCGATAAACACAAGCTAAGGCACAGAATACGTTATTAGTGCCAGGACTGTCTGCTTTGGCTTGTGCGTGTAGAAGATTTTGGAGGTAACTTCAGCAGCCACAGGCAAGCAAGATGTCGCAAAAGCTACACAAATAGCACTATTTTTGTTAGAATGGGATTATCAGAGGCCTGCACTATGGTTATAAAAGGACACCTTGTTCTAGTGCGGCACTTGTTTTCATTGTGGGAGGGCTTCCACAGCTCAAAAAAAGCTTCGAAAGATAGCTTGAAATGAGTCAAATACCACCAAGCCGCGACATGAACGACGTAGAAATGATGCGAAAAAGCCCCACTTGTGGTCCTCACAGAATTCCTTTGGCAGAGGTAACAATTACGTGCCAAAGTTCGCACTAAACTAAGGAGGCTTCCTACGATGGCTATTTACGCTGCGGTGAGATCCCGAAAAGTTGGATAAAAGTTCGAACCTCAAGGGTGGCAGAGCAAAACTTCCCTGCAACATTTTTATTTCTTCAAGAGCTGACAATACTTCACAAAGGACAACACCATGTTAGAGACGTGCACATATGCACATCTACTTCAAATTACTAATACCAAGAGCTACAAGCAAAAGGAAGAAAAGTAAAAAAGACGAGCCGGGCGCAGTGGAAGCCAGATCACTAAACCGTTACAAGAGAACCATTCGAGGTTATTATATTGAACTAATTAACATCAAGAGCTCATAACGGCGGCTTATTGCAGACTGGACGTAAGCGCCTCCTCTCGAAGAATGGGATAGTCGGAGGTGTTCAGTGTAGTCGAGCAGGCTTAGGTGTCCAACAGGTGGCGCTGAGCGTCGTGGGGGTGTATAGCTAACTAGGACGAGAGTTGACGATGAGACGAATATTGAGTATAGGCGGATGTGTTGAAGGGCGCAAGGTAATTGTAGACCGGCCATAATGCAGTCGACCGACGCCCTCCCTGTTGGACAGAGGACCAGAAGCGGATGAACGGGCCGAGCGGGTTGAAGGTGAACAGGTTAAGGTAACGAATGAAGCAGAATTAGGGGATTTCCAGCGGGTAATACAACAAGTTCCAGTATTCGAGTTTGTAAAGCAGATTATGGAACTCTAACAACAAGGAAAATGGGGAAACGTGCACAATCAAGAGCGCTGGATCCACTGAAGCTTTTGAATACATAGACTTTATAGATAAGTTCTTGGGATCAAACACGGGACTACTCTGGACAGTGATGTGCGGAGAGGAAGATAGTACCTTAGAAACGGCTAAATATTACGACAGCCGTATATTTTTGAAAGAAAGAAGAAAAGAAAGGGAGTAAATAAGAAAGGATTAAATTCTGGACGAAAAGGAAGAGAAGTGGACCCTGCAAAAGAAGAGGTAACCCGAGGACCACTTCCTTCGAGCAGCGCCCACCCTATTACTGTATGGCAACCTTGACGCTGCTGAGAGCCGTCTTTCAAAATTCTCCGCTGTAACAGAAGAGGAACGATAAGCTTTCAGAGGGATAGAAGCTTATATCCCTTCCAAACCCACTGGAAGGTGGTCTCTGAAAGGATCAAGTACACGGATTATCGCAAGGTAAATTGACCGTGCCAGCAAGGGTAGGCAGAGCCAGCACAGATGACTGAATCCAATAGTACGCAGCGCTAGCAAATCGCTGATTCATGGATTCGTAAAGGATGAGTGTGTACGAAACCAGTCTAGAAAACAACACCCAGCAATTTAGATGGTTACCTGTGGACCTGGACCTACTCGGTTCCCGTCGTCTAGGATTCGATGCCATTGCATGCAAAGTCAGGTGGTCCCAAGTGCTCCTCTCATCGCCTCTAATGATCGGGTGAGGGCGAATACCGTACAGTAATTCGCCGCTATCACTGACTCCAGAGCCATATGGGTCACCGAATAAACCAGCTCGCTCTATCTATAACATGTGCTTGTTCCCTTGCAAATTTGAGGCATGCTCAAATTGATCTACTCACATAGAAAGGGTGAAAGTGCACTCAGGGGAGCCACTCCATTTGTTCCCCAATACTTGCTTCAAGAAAGAGTGAGTAGGCGCTGTCTAGAACCACTGATGAGATAGCAAGGAGGGCTCTCCCCCCTCCCGAGTACAGGATTTTCACCCCAAGGAGGTTATCGACAAATTGAGAAGGTAAATAATAACAGTTCCATTTATTGAGTTGACCATTGAGTACAGTTCGGATGACTTATACGGAAACTACGGTATCCTTCGAGAGACTAGCCTCACGATTAGGAGAACCGCTCTTGAAATGGACTAACATCAAGGCAGCTCGACCTCTCTGAAGGAAAGCACATAACGGACAAGAATGCCTCAGTGATTCGAGTTGAAGGCACGCCACTCTCAAGCAACCTATCAATGCCTTTCATTACGTCCTGTTGGGATATTGGATGCCGAATTCAATCTGAGCAGTAGTAGTGGTATTTTGCTGGAACGTCCAGTGCTTTTCAGGTAACAAGGGTAACAAGCGAAGGCGATCAGAATAAATCAAAATATTTCTATCTGTCATTGCCTCAAGGTCTATGAATTACTCAGGTGTATTTATAAGGCCTATTTCCCTTCAGTGCTAACCTTACTGTGCATGTATGCGCCGTGAGATACCGAATCATGGGGGAAGAGCCGCTGGTTTCTCCATATGAAATTCTTATTTCGACACTCATAAGACTGCTGTCATTTATGACCTATATTTCACGAGCCTTTTACAATTCCAAGCCTTTTACAAAAGTTTGGCACATGCTGGGTCGATTCGTGGCGCATATGAGTACTTGTGAGACTACACACAACTTAC